AATTAAAATTTTCATTACCATTCATTGGAAGCAAATTTGATTTGTTCCAACTATAGCTTGCGTCGTTTCTGTTTTCAAAATAAGAAATAAACTCATGTTTGCAATGCATGTTGAATTTTTCATTAGGGTCAGGTGAGGGGAGGAAATTCATTAACTTTAGAATTTGAAAAAATTTTGCTTGCTTTAAGTTATTTTTCAAATTAAGATTTCACTTACAAAGAACAATAAATGATCGGCCATGAATTCAGTGACCTAATTATAATTTTAATTGTCATAACTGATAATAAAATATTCTCGCTTAACCACTTTCTATCTCTGTTTCAGGTATTGTTGACCTTGCGAGATGCCATTGGTAGGGTCGACGATGAAACGCAGCAACTTCTACGAGATGCTGTTAAAGTAAGTCTGTCTATTGCAGATGAAATTTAACACAGTTTGGTTTATTTCCATATCAGTTCAATTCTTTCATTCAATTCGCGAGCATTCATTAATTCTCTTCAAGAGATTCTTTAACAAGAAAGCGAAAAAATATGTATAAAAAGGGTTTCTATGGAGATAATTACACTCCATAGAAACGCTTTTTTTGTGCAATTTTTTAAGAATGCCAAGAAAGTTTCAGACTGAAAACTTATTTGGAATATTTATTTCAGTGATTTTTATAATTATGCAATAACTTTGACGAGTAGGAAAACATTTTTCTGCTGAGTAATCAATTTATCGGACTTATTGTTCATTCATTATGTTAATATTGAAGAATCTAGCTCATCTTTAAGGTCTTATCTTCATCTGAATTGTATGCACCCACAATTACGCGCTTCGGGAACAATGATAGAATAGCAACAGGCTACTACGATGGATTGATACGAGTCAGTTTTAGCGATTTGATAATTCTTGCGTGTTTTTGTTCATAACTCACTTCTCTTCATATGTATTTAGTGGCCTTATTTAATAATATTATTTGTTCTTTCTTTTCATTATCACAATTGTGATATTTCTACAGAATTATCAAAGTATAAATAAGACTCAATTCAGAAAAACGAACTTATCTGTTCGTTTAAATTTACAGAAAATGTTTACGAAAATGTTGAAATAGAGGGACTTGTTTCGCTATTAAAAAATAACAGCTAAGAATGAGAATTCAAAAAGAAAGCAAAAAGTTAGAAACAATAAATAATTAATTAACCACCCATCCATGGTTTACTTAGAAACATGGTGTCCACATAATGGATATGTCCACGTAAATTATTGCCATGGATGTGTCCACGTAAAATTATTGCATAGTATTTCATTTTAAAACTAAATCAACAAGGCTAACCTTGTTGTAACTGTCTTATTTTTTTATATTTGAAGATTTTTCAGCATAAATGATTTGATCGCACTGATATTATTGATCTCATATTTACTGCTTTACTGTCTTCGTTGTTTACAGTTGCATCACTTACCTCGAAGTCGCAAGCGATCAGTCGTGGATGCCTTCAAAGATAAACGAACTACTGCTTCTGAGCACAGACGTGTTTCTGCTGATGTTGTCAAAGCCTTAGCGAATGATACTCAATGGGATTATGATATCTTAAACTTAGAAAGAATTACTGAGCATCACGCTCTTTCTCAAATAGGAATTAAGGCAAAATTTAAAACGTCAAACAGCAAGAGACTTCAGCGCTGATTTTGTTACAATTACATGAATACCTAATAATTTTTTATCCGCTAATTTATGAATTGGGAATACTAACTTTTTTGAGAAATGGTATTTATAGGGAGTACAATATTTGTACTTATTATGATTTAGATATTTGAACGCTGGAAGGTTAACGAAGCACTAAAATGTTCAATGGAATTAATTTCCCGATGGTTGTCAACGATAGAAGCTCATTATCATGCAACAAATCCTTATCATAATGCTACTCATGCAGCTGACGTATTACAGGTTATTTATATTTATCATTTCCTTTCACTTATGGAGCGTTTTTCTACCGTTTAATAGATAAAATTCTGACCCCCAAATCGGTTTTCTTCATTCTGTTATTCCTTATAATGTTTTAATAATCGCAACAAGCTAACGAAGAAACTTATGGATGTTAGATTTGAAGGAGGCTTTTCATTTAAATCATTAACCGAATTTACTGATCTATAATTGCTGGAAAATGCCAACTTTTAGGCAACCTCTTATTTTCTCGAATCACCAAGCGTGGCACATTACGTACAAGAAATGCATGCCACTGCAGCGTTGATCGCCGCTGCTGTTCATGATTTGGATCATCCTGGTAATTGTTGATCGTGTTATTTAGAATAACTGCTCTACATGTCAATCAGATCAAATTAGTGCAAATTTCCTCTTTCAATTCTTAATTCTATTCCTTTACCTGAAGTGCAAAAAAAATTATATCCTTTCACACTATTTGATAAGAACAAGATGAAACTTCATGCTCAATTTTTGTTAAAATTTATTTGAAGATTTTTACATAACTGATCTACATTCACTATGAATTTTGTATAAATTATCAAGATTAATTTAGGACGTGGTAATGCGTTTTTAATCAATACACAACAACCATTGGCATTGTTATACAACGATCAATCTGTCTTAGAGAATCATCACGTAGCGTTGGCATTTCAGCTTACTTTGCAAAGTACAAATAACATCAATATATTCGCTGGAATAACACGAGAAGAATTTGCGGCTTTACGTCAGGCAACTGTTGAGATGGTTCTAGCCACAGATATGAGTCGACATTTTGAATACTTGGCAAAGTTCCAGCAAGCTGTCTCAAATTTGAAAGTATTACTTTGTACAATAATGATTTTTACGCGCGATTAAAAATGACTCACCGAAAATATTGATGTAAATTTAAACAAAAAGTCAATCAATGAATGAAGAAATGGTCAAAACGTTTTTCAGTTACTACCTAGAAATTTGCAACAATTCTTGCAGCGTGTAGTGATAGAATTGAGAAAAGTTTAAAATTCTCGTTTTATTGTTTATGAGAGTACCAAAGATGTAAGTTTTGCCAGTGTTGTATAGTATCTAAAGTATCAAAAAAACCAATTAACCTTTGAACTTGAAATGTTGAATGGTTTATTTTTCAAGAGCCTTCTCATTTTGAAAGCTACTTTAATTTATAATTTCAAAAAAATAGCAAAAAAAAAACGAGCCTTAGCAAAATAAACGAAACTGACGCAAATTTGCATAAGTATAAAAAATTTTAAATATTAGAAGTGAGAATAATTGTTTGAACATAAAAATATTTGTTTAATTTAGTCTAAGCCACTGAGCAATAATATATAGCAAAGTATATAAGTACAAATCATAAATAACTTTCTAGCACAAATAACACTGCCAACTTTACTTTGCGCAATTGCCTCAATGAAAAAAGGATTTTTATTTAAGCAAAAAATGTAAATGCAAGTTATAAATATTGCAGTGAAGTATTGAAGTTAAGCCTGTAAACTTCTCCAAAAAATCAAAATATTACTGCAAGCATTTATCAGAATGAAAATTTATTCTGGCGATGCAATGAATGATTAATCGTTTGTTCATAAATTTGAAGGAAAATGAAGAAAATGAGAGTAACATATCCCTGATTGTTTGTCGTATGTTAATTAAATGCGCGGATATTGGAAATCCGACCAGGAGCTGGGCTCTGTGCGAAAAGTGGGCGATGCGAATCGTAGAGGAATATTTTGATCAGGTTTGGGTCCCATCGAAAACAATTTTTTTAATATTATGAATTATTTCTATGCTATTAACTATTTCAGTTTGTAGTGAACTACAATTTGATTCTATCTGCTGTACGTAGTAGAGTAACACTGCTTGATTGTAACAGCTGAAATTAGTAATTAGTAATGGATTTTGAACTAAATTTTGGTTCTTATTTTAGTGATTTTCTTCGCTGAACATTATTAATCTTCATTGAAATGAAGGCTATATTATTTATTGGGCAAGCATGAAGTTGAATTTTTTTGATTTGTGCATCAAAAAATTGCATTAAAGCAATCATAATCACGCAGTGTTAGTTAAGGACAAACCTCTGTTAGTTAAGGACAAACTTCAATTCTTGGACAAATTATTATTTTTTATATATCAATTTTTAACAGATTTGGTCGTAGCTCTGACGTTATACCATAGATTTCTTTATATATGAAAGTATTTTACGTAAGTTTAAACGCTGACACTGAAATTTATTGCAAAAAAATTGCAGACAACAGAGGAACGTGAAAAAGGTTTACCATTAACTATGGCACTTTTTGATCGAAACGTGTGCAATGTACCTTTGACGCAGTGTGGTTTCATTGACATGTTTGCACGTGAAACATTTACAAGTTGGAGCGAATTCGCTGACATCCCAATTTTACTCACTCAGTTGGAAAAAAATTATGAAAAATGGCGCGAGCAAACATCCACTTGGGATCCATCAAGGAATACTCACTTACGTGAGGAGCGATGTCATAGCTAAATTTTTGAAGTTATCACTTTATATATAGTAATTATTTGAACTTTTTAAATTGCACTATCATCGTTACTGTTAGTTCTGGAAAATCAAAAAATTTTAATATGAAATGTCAACAAGTAAAGCTTTGCAAGTTGCATAACCTTTTACTTGTGCAACTGATATGATATGTAAATACTTGAAAAAGTTATTCTTAATTTTTTTGGTTACAAAATGGAAGGCGTCTGAATGAAAGACTAATTTTTTGAGGTAGAAATTATTAGATAACATAAAAATATTTTTTATTAAGAATATTGATTTAAAGAATGTTCGCAATAAGTCACTAGCAATAAATATCTTGCATGGAAGAAAACCATAATCTGATAAGCAGACAGATTTTAAATATTAAACACTTCAAAAGTATTCAGTAAAAGTCTTTGAATGAAAGTATTTTGAAACACAAACGCATATTTAATGGCTTTTTAATAGTTGAAAAAAATTTAATTTTTGAAAATTTCTGACAGAAAAATGAAAGGAAAAAGTTGACAATATTATGCAAATAATAACCAAAAGTGTATGATCACTTGCAATTATTAATCTAAAGTTTAAGTTTGTTCCACGTAAATTTTTATCTGTGTTGCTTGTCTTAGCTGATATCTGGATTTTAGTATTATCGGAAAGTTATGTGCAAGATAGTTTATATTTTTTGACTCTGTGTTGTTAAAGTATTATACAAAGTTGATATTTAAAAAACGCTCTCATTTACTTTATATTCTTGCAGTCTGTTGGCAAAAACTTGGCTATTTTAAACACAATTATCAAGTACCGAATCTTACCCACGTAATTTTGTCCTTTACGAAGCAGAGCCTGTAAGATTGTTGGAACTGCAATTTTTTGTCAAATGACAGCGTTAAATCTTTCAACGTGATAGATAATGCCAGTAGCATTTTATCACCATATTTTATAATTCCTTGATTAAAGTTTGGAAGTTTGGTGAGAAATTTAAAGTACTTTAATATTTTATGGACAAAATGCCATATGATAAAAAAATGGAGATAACTATGAATGTACTAAAACGCAAAATAATTGCATTTTAGTGCATTCATAGTTTTTCTTAATAACAGCTGTTTAATCACGTTTATTCTTTCTTGAAGAATTCGGTGACGAAGTCATTCTCAAGTTGCAAATTCTATCGATTCTTTCGATAAATCAGTTCTAAATTTCTAATACTAAAATCGACTATTAGAGCATTTCATTTTGACAGATTTCAAGTAAGAAGAAGATTTTTACTAACAAGCAGATATTATGGTTAGGTGATAATTTGCATTAAATGTTTATTGTAGTGTTCAAATCATAAATCATTTGAATTTTTGCAGAGCTTTGCTTCATTTTCACATACATATAAACTCTGTAAGATGAGGAATTTTGTATTTGATAGGGAATCAGATCTCAAACAAAAGCCTATTAATCATTAATATAACAGTCTACTGATAACACAGTTGCTATGAAACTAGTTAAATTAATTAAAACAGTAGCAATCAATCCTTCTATGTGCTTCATTAATTTCATCGTTTCTATACAATTCCAAATTAAACTCCATGCAGTAATGAAGGCATCAATTAACTGTAGATGCTTTATTATTCATTAAATAAATGTTTACACTTTTTGCATTTTTTAATCTAAAATTTCAAAATTACAACAGTAAATTATAAACTTTGTGTTCAAAATAAAGCTAAACTTTTCGAAAACAAAAGCCACGAATTTTAAGAAAAAGTGCGAGATTTGAAAAGAAATAAAATGTTGTAAACTTCGTACAACATTTCATCCTATTTTTCTTGATTATTTCTTAGTTATAACCAAAAATAATTTCTTTTCGAAAAATAAAAGGCAAGCGTTTACTTTGTACTTTATTTTGATGAATGATAAGATCCATTTTCAAATTCATGCAGAAATTGATAAATTTCATGACAAAAAACAGCAATAATAGCAAAACTTAATCGTTGCGTTGCAGTCTATGAATGGCTACGTCAGTAGCATCAAAAATCAACAAACATCAAAATCGCATTTTCAAATGCATTTTAGCAATAGGGAAGTACTAAAATTTAGGCCGGAAAAATAATAATTTAGAAAAGAAAGTAAATTGTCTTTACAAGGAATATTATATCGGCGTTAATATTTCCAAAAATTATGAAGTGCGAAAAAGGTCACATTAAGATTCAAATTAATTTAAAATTTTTAACCTTTACATGCTGCACATCTATCGACTTAATGTTACACTATAACTCCGAAAAGGGGTAAATTTGAAAAAAAGATTTAATAATGCAAAAAAATAAATAAAAAATAAATGAATGAATTTAAAATAATGCAACGAAGCTGTTGGCACTGCAAAGTTCTTTATCCTAAACTGTGAGTACTTTTCTTTGATTGTGCAATTATTCTTTAACAAAACATGCCTTCAACTGATAGCAAAACATATTTTGAGTATTTAAACTTAGAGGAAAAGCTAAGATTTGGCATAAATTTTGTTTAATTCATAAAAACAGTCTTAATCTCTTCGCACTAGGAATTTTTCTTGTCCAAATGCCTATGGATTCTGAAGTTTACTGTTTAATGAGGTAGTAAATCAAAGAAAGTCAATTAAACATCGAATGATTTATTCTTGATTTACATTTACATGCAATCAATGCAGTTTCTTTCAAAGCAAATGATGGCAAGCGTTAACCAAAGAAGGAAGTACTTCAAGATTTCAAAAATAAACTGATCTGCACAGATTAATTTAAGTTTTTGATCCCATATTGTTTTGATGCCACATTTATTTCCACAGAGAAAATATATAAATATTTACTCAGTAATTTTTATTCATATTGTCGTATAAAAATTAAATTTGTCGTATCTGTCATTGTTTGTGATAGCATTTGTGATGTTTAGATGAACAAATCTCACTTTATAGATTTTCCTGACATTTTTTCTCACAAGTTTTCTTTAGTTATTTATCTTAGAGGAAACAACTTATTTACTTGATTAACTATACGATAATGGAAATAAAGCTCAGTAAGGCATAAATATTAACACAAGTATGCTGTTGTCTATGTTCGCGTAGTTTGCAAAGCTTTTTAGTTTATATTAAACGACACGAAAGTTTATGTCACGTGTACACGCTCATATAAGTCTGTATACTTGGGATTTGAGTTTGAGAAAAAAATGTTATCAGCAAGTAGTAATGAAAATTTAGCGTAATCTTAATCGTCAAGAAATGAGCCTTTTTTTTGGCTTAGAAACCATTTGAGATATTTGATGGAAGCCTAGCAAGAATAGGCATGTTTCAGGCCTAGAAATATCTTTCATTTTCTTCTCCCTTCTCGGCCGATTTTTCGCTCTAAAAGACTCTCTTTTAATAAATGAACGTAATGTCATTTTTTTCTATCCACTCTTTGATTCAATCTTATTCCTCGATATATTCATTTCATTCTCCCCCGCACTCATCGATTCATTGATTTCTCCAGTGCTTTCTCTCGTACTTATCGATTTTGCAATTATTTTCCCGCAAATGCCATATGCTTCTTCAAAATCACGTTGTCATCCAATTAACATTTGTTTATGACTTTGAGATAAATTCTCACTCCTTATTATTTTCAAATCTCAAATTATTTTCTTTCTCGACTGCATTATAAAAAATTCTTCTGTTCTAATGAAATTTTTTCAAATGTTATAAATGAAATGACTAAAATGCATTTTTCCAAATTTGAGGTGCAAAGTTTTTTAAAATATTCTGTTATCCCATGTCTAACTTTCCACTGCTAAAATGAAACCTACGAATTGTTCTACGAAATAATAATGGCAGCTTTCATTAATAGAGTAGAATTGATATACTTCAATTAATTACTCAGTAATGCAATTACTTATCCAATTTTCTGCACAATACTTGACGTATTTCGTTTGCTTAATTGCTAATTGTTTCCCTACGAAAGTGCAAACTTGACAACAACGAAGTGCTCATGATTATAATTTTTGGAAAGACAAATTTTCAAAGTCCTAAACTATCGACATTGAGATGTGTATTGAGAAAAATGAACGCTGTAATCATATACAAGTAGGGACATTGATGGTCAGTCTACCTTGAGTAATGCCAAGGCTCTGATCCTTTCCTATTGCTAGGCTAGAAAATTCAGTGCTGAAGATCTCCCCAGTACTAAGCAATCAGTCACTGACATATTGTAATTCCTTTCGAACAAACTCTTTGACTTCATTTCACTTACACTTAGATTGTCTATAGTTGTTTTCAAAGCTAGTGCATAACAAATTCTTTCCACTGCTTTCAAGAACTAATTCTTTATTAATCAATCGTTGAATCGGTTTTGTATTCAAATTTCGAAAAGTCTTAACGAAAGGATTCGGATTCATATCAGTTTCAATTCATAATTTGTTCCCTCCATCATAATCTCCAGCTCATAATAATTTATAATTTTCAGACAATATTCAAGCAGACATTTATTCCATTTGCATGCAACAAAGTGAATTTCGATAGCATCCAAAAAGAAATCTAGCATTCTATTCTTTCTTTCCTTAAAAATTTTGATTGTATGAGTGAGTTTGTATTGAAGAAAAGCTTTTCTTACTCACTAGAAGCAATACTTTGATGAAATTTTTAATTTTTATGGTTGCATAAATGTATATTAGATTTTGGTCGTATTTATTTCACAATATTAAAAACTGACGCTTTCATTTTCAGGCATCAGAATAATTCTCAAAAACTCTTTTATTATTCTTTTTTCTTGTCTTTATTTTTCATGACATTCTGAAGGCATCATTTTCAAAGCCTTTTATATGAATTTTAAACTTCCTGTCATCACTGTATCATACATAACTTAACTTCAAACGACCAATCAATGAAGTTTTTTTTGCTGGAAAAAGTAATTTAACTTCCAATAAAACTCTTCACTTATATTCTTATAGAAGCAGTCATTGATTTAAATATTTTATTTAATTTTCATTCCATTATATTTCAAAAGCATTTGCACAAGCTTGTTTTGATGAAAACAAGCATAATTGTTAGCAATTATTGAGTAATTACTGAGTCTCGAGAAAAAGAAAATCTGAAGTACTTTAGAAATAATGAAAGGTGCTCAAAAGAAGCAAGATTATGTTTAATATTACACCTTTACTTGGTAAAAATGCATGAAAAATAGAAGTAGATTTCAAGAAGGCAAAAATGGAAAATCCATTTTGTTGAGAGCAACGCTCGAGTTATTTTGTATGTAAAAGATGCATTGTTTGATTAAATGATTGACTGATCAATCATAATTTTTCATGTACAAATGGTAAGCATTTGAAGTAATTTGATACAAAACGGTATAAGAAATATTTGCGTGATAACACATCATGAATTTAGTCTGCAAAATATATTAATCTTTAGATTAATATTAAACTTTTTTGCTCAGAAAATATTGGCCTCTTTTTTGACATAGTCAGAAAAATTTTATTCCGTAGAAAAGACATCGGTTGAATTGTATTACTTACTTCACATAATACATTTGTGCAGAAAAGAGCTAGCTGGACAATAACTCACACCTTATTTGGTTATTTATTAATACCATTCATGTCAAACTCTTCTAAAGATGATTAAAAAAAATACACCACTAAATTGTAATTGTAGTCTTTGAACCAAAAGGCTAAAATTACTAACGGAGATAATTTGCAAAGCTATTAAGTAAAGGAGTAATTACTAGCTAAAGCTTGTATTGTCGCTCCCTTCTTACTTAGAGCTTTTTGAGTAATTTAAATTGCTCTGAACAATTCTGTTTTTTCTGCTCTAATTTACAAGCTTAGCATTGAAAAGAGTGAAATGTGCAAAACTCTCAATTAACATTTTTTCCAATCATACTTAAATCATATTTTAAAAATTTGTATCTGCTCAAGTCTGTAACCATACTATACGTATACTTGGAAATATGTTCATAACAATTTAACTTTCTAGAACGCTACTTAATTACATGCTAATGAAGTCAACGTTGAAACTTAATCTATCAATGTTTTGCATGATTTGATATTAATCAGTTAACTTTTGAGCAGTTACACTTGACAAACTAAATGGATTGAAAGCGTACAATTTTAGTGTAAGATCAATTAACTGAGAAACTCAAAATCGAGGATATGTATTTGAGTCAGTCCTTTTAGTTTGAATTTGCCTGCTAAACAGCTGATATTTTCAGATACTGCTTTGGAAGTTGATTATTCTGTGAGCAAATAATCTTTTCATCGTTTGGACAAAGAAGTACTCATGTGGCATTATAACAAACAGCATGAAACTTATGCATGTAAAATCCTTAAATTTTGCTTAGCAAATCGCTTTTTATAATAAATGTTATACTTTGTGGTGAATTTACTCAAAAACGTCACTAAACATAATTAAATGATCGATATATCATAGTTAAAAATTTGCTCCATGTTAATTTTATAGTGAACTGATCAAAGTTGTTTCATTCACAATAAAAATTATAAAATACTTGCAGGGTATTCAAAGAGAACTCACGAATTAATGAAAACTGACTAAAGGGAAAAAGTTGATCTACCTGATATATACTGAATGTACTGTTGATCAGGGAGCCTTCAGTCTTGCAGACCTTTATTATATTGGATCAAATGTTGCAGAGATCCTTTAACGTTCTTAACGCATTTAATCACTTGGCTTTGTTGACGTCTGTCATAACAATTTCAAGTGTTATGCTTCCAATCTATTGGTAGGTTTTACAATACTTAATAATCACTTGGCTAAATTTGTCAAGCGCTAAGATTCTACAATTGCTATTCTATTAGGAGAACACTTTCCACTTCAAAGGATAGAGTTTGCTTTCAAAAATAATAACCATATATGTCATTTTCTGCTCAATTTTTTCAGCATAAATTTCATCGTAAAATTTTCTAAATGTCAATGAAATTTGTTAAATGCAAAGGCTCATAAGAAGATATTTTATTTTATTTTTTCAAAACGTTCCTTCTAATATTATTCTTTCCTTCCATCTGCGCGAGATCATCATTTATCCTTCACACGAGTAATTTTTTGAGTTTTCTGACAGTAATTTTTCCATTCATTTTTTTTATTCAGAATTGAAAAAACTGTTTTCAAATTTTAAGCATAAAAAATTATGTCTTTTTCATTTCTTTAGTGACATTCGAAATCATTCAAGTGGAAAATATTGGAATAATAGCTTTATGACGATCAGTCTAAAATTGTTTAGAGCAAGGAAATTTCCTTCTCAAGAACTCGTTTTCCAAATTGACTTTAAATACTTTTTAAGTGTCAAATGCATGCTTAATTATCTCCGTGAAATTTTGCTAAAAATCAGTTTTTATAAAGTGCAGTTATTTTTTTCAATGCATTCCACAAAAACTTCTCAAAATTATTTGAATTTAAGCTTTTTCAAAATTGTCAAATTCAAATTTGCAGAGCATTTTAAAGAGTTTATTCATTACTTATAAATATTTGCTTCATAGTTTTAGGATATATTTTATAGTTATAAAATATTCAAAAAACCAAGATATTATAAATATTCAAACATTTTCAATGAAAATGAATTTTTTCGTTCAAAAAAAAGATAAGCATTGTAGAACAGTGCAAACAGTAAAAATAATAGAATTTTTATACAAAGTGGTCAGAATCACAATGAGAAATTGCAATCAGAAAAATACTTTCTACATGAGTGCTATTCATTTTTAAGCTTGAAAAGCCTCTGCGTGATGAAATATTATTTTTTTAATTACTAAGAAATTAATTTTGCAATAATAATTCAAATAATTTATTCATATATCTGCTTGACAATAACTACTTTGATTAATCAATAACCATACAAATTTGACGCAAATATTTAAAAGTGGTCAAGCTATTACTTATCATTTCTAGCACTAAATTTTAAAAGATTATTTATCGTGTTTCACGTAAGATCCAATTATTACTTGTCGATAGAATCATTATTTTCTGATGCAATTAAGGTTTTTGTCCGAAACTGAAGCATATATTCATCTGAGATGAAAATTTTTTCCCTATTTTCAATGTTTTTTCATTTACAAAATGTTTGGACTCATTCGCTGAGAAAACGCTTATTTAACAAATTTTGTTCCGACCATGCAAATAGTGTTTTAAAAATTAATTTCGTGCATTATTATGTGTTTTTGGGATGATATTTAAATTTCTTAAGAACTTCACGAGTGCTATTCAATTTAATCTTCTGTATATATTTTAGCCTTCATAAAATTTAGTGCAAAATGTCATCAACCTCAATTTATATTCTGTTTTTTTTCTTCATAAATTAAGTTTTAGTTCTTTTCGCATTTACATTTGTTAGTTCAAAACAAATTTATATTAGAATATAGAAGAAATTCTACTATAAATAAAATTTCAAATAAAATATTAGAATATAAAATTGAGAAGAAAAATATTAGAATATAAATTAAACTGGAAATTCTACGGAATAACTGGAACTCCTACTGGAATATCGACGGAAATGCTTTCGAGCGTCTTCTTGAGAACTATCGATTGAATGTATTTCTAGACGTGATCAGATTAAATATAATATTGTAGAACAAAAATAATCTATTGAATGACATTGAGAGTTTTTAAAAAAACTAATTTTCCATTTAAAGAGAAATAATTATGATTCGTTTCAAGTCAATACATGCTTATTTGTTAAGCATAGTTGTCATACCTTCATTATAAATTTTCTTAAAATGATGAGCAAGTTGATCGGAAAAAAATGCCTGACTCAATTAAGTTCAGTTACGTCAAAAATTAATTTGCATACAAAAGTTTGCAAAAAATTAATGTTTCAGTAGTGAAAGATTGTCCTCAATTACTCCTTGTGCCTATCCATTGTTGAGCGACACAACTCACTGTGGTATTGATGATACCAAACTGAAAAGTGTTCAAGTTTGCGATCCTGACAAAGCAATTAGTATGTCTGAAAGTAAGTAAGTTATCAAATTCAACAACTAATGTGATCACAAATAAGATAAGAATCAGTTTTTCAAACTGACTTGAAAGTTTTTCACACCATAAAATATTTTATGCAAATTTCTAATTGCTTAGTATGTCCACAATGTTGCAAAAAGCAAATCAAAAAAGTCATCTTTGCAATAATGAAAAATTAAATATAATTTGATGTAATTTGCATAAGATACAGAGAGGAGCTGAAGTTAGAAGAGTTTTTCACTACTGCTTAAACCTAGTATTAATTACAAAAAAACTAATTAATGAATGTTTGCGAAGCAGAAATTTCAGAAATGTCATAAAATATTCATTAAAAAGCAAATTTTTGCAAATTAATATTTAAAGGTGTTGTTAAGTCATGCTTGTTGTACTAATTGTTATTGAGATTTTAGTCGAAGTCATCAAGAATAAACTTGATTCTATTTATCAACGCAACAACAACTACTGCATTTGTCATCATGATCAGGTGAGTCTTTTTAGACTCTCATCTCTGAAGTTTTATGTTTTGCTATTTCACTAGTATTTTTATTAAATTTTTTGCTATATTTTTGTAATTTTTTCTACACATTTCGTAGTAGTATTTAAAATGACAATATTCAACAATGAAGACTTATTCGCAGTAATTTCTTTGTCAATAAAAGTAAGAATCATCCTTTATGTGATCTGCTAATGAATATAGTTTCAAAACTTCTGTACATCCATCTCAATCTTTTTTATGTACTTATTAAGTTTACATTCTTCGTAACTTTTTCGTGACCTTGGCAAACAAATAATGATATAAATATACTGTGCTGATAACGTGCATAGTATCAGTAATTACTTACTTAACATAGCTACATCTGACAAAGTAGATGAATATATCAAATTTTAATTCAGAAAATTGAATATTAATCCATGCACGATTCGTTTGTGTCATATAAGTAATGTCAGTTCAAAGTGAAAAATTTGCAGTTGTCGCGATAGCTATTTGCTAATGAATTTAGAAAATTTTTGCAGTTATTCCCTTTTAGCTGTTTAATGTAGCAGTGATTCTAACACTTTATTTCTGAAGGCATTAATTTGTCAAAACTTTATGCATTCTTTGCACAAATGAATGGATAAAAAAGTAATTAAAATATTTTATTCATAATTATTTCATATTAAATTCAAATGAATAGAATAATCCAAACTGTGAAATACCAATAAAGTTTGCAATACTTTTTCTAGTCAAGACCATGCTGGTTTCAATTTGGTTTTGCATTTTTGCGCTACATGTATCCTGTGCAATCAGGTGTTTCACATCTCTATAGGTTTGCACATTTAGATTCTAATATACTTGAATATGACTTATTTTGATATTAGAATTTAATATGCAAACATGTTTTTTTGATGAAAATTTCTGGTATGCATAATTAAACTTAAATTTATTGTTCAAGCATATTCTGTGTTACAACTGTGCAATTTGTGTTTGCAGTCGCGAGTTTTGCCCAGCAAATGAAACACTGTTAAAATTCATAAAAAATCATGCCTTCCTTCACTCAACAAGGTAAAAATTTTTAGAGTTTATAAATTTTTTTTTAATCGAAATTTTGCTTTCTAAATATACTTGAGAAATATTGATTGAGATAAATAGTTTAATTTATATTTAGATTTATTTAACATAAGCTATTAGCATTCAAAATTTATTACTTAAAATGTCAAGTTTGAGTCTAATTTAAACTTTCCCATCAAACTTTATTGTTTGCTTTCTTGCAAAAGAAAAGAAAAGATGACGACTGCTTAATATCGAGCGAAAGCTATAATAACAAATAGATTGTAATTGTTAAAAACTTTTCAAGTAGAAAAAATTTATTGTTTTTTGTTGATTATATTATATTTGCATATAAGTCTAGAAAAGTGAGCATTAATATGCATTATTTTGCAGAGAAGATGTGATAAATTATGGAGAAAACTTTGCCCGATTACTAAGGGAACGTTGGATAATGGGAAAGTGTGATGAAGATATTTTGTTTTTTATTGTTTTGAAAAGGCCTGATCAGGTGAATAAAACTTATCTCATACAAATATTAAAAATATACTTTGAAAAAATAAAAATTCTTTAAAATAAATGTGCAGGAAGATTAGTGTTTGGATGATTTATTTTCAGTTAGTGAGTAAAACTGTATTCTCGTATTCAGCTGCTGCACCAATGCAATCAACACCGGCAAGTTTGATATTAAGTAATAGTAATTTTAAAATTATTCAGAAAGTAAACTTTTTAAAAATTAGTCAGTTTGCAGTTGATCGTAGAAATCATACGTAGTTTGCAGTACATTTTTGCATCATATGGTTCTTTGGTACAAGAAAAAATTGGTATATTCAACTCCATGGATGGTGAATTCTTACTTAGCTATCATCGGATGGACCCACTGAAAAGAATTGTTGAGGCAGAAAATGTCAATTTTGAAAATGGCTACTCATTAAAAGCAGTAAATCACACTTTATATCTTCTCGAGAATGCAATTGGCATTTTGTTTTGAGCATCAAAAGCTAATTAAGTATTGTTTCTTACTGCGAAAATTGTTTAAATTGCAAGCGAAATTTATTTGCATTCATTGTCAGAAAGTGATTTGAATGAATGTAGAGAAAGTCTTGCGTAGGTGACTGAAAACTTGTTGGACCGTTTCACGGAGACACTCTCTCAAGCAAACAAAAACCACTTATTAACTCGAACTCAAAGTCACATTCCCGATTGGGCATTGATTGTATTCGTCACGTGTGCCTTTCTGTGCTTACTTATGACAATTGGGTGAGTGAGAAGTTAAAAATCTTCATTTATGCATGACTTTTGTTCACTCGAAATCTTTTAAATCGTTTGAAAGCGCACTATTTTTTATCAAAAGTTTTGAACAGTATTCTTATTGCTAAGTTAGACTGATGTCAATTTCATCTCATTAGCTATTCATATTTTACACTTTGAAATTTGCCTTTTCAGTATTTTTCTGCACTGAAATATTTTTGCTTTCGCAAGTCAAGAAATACTATTTAGTAGTTGAGTTATGACAATCTTGATTAGTATAAATCAAATTTTTGCCTGCCATCATATTGTTTGAAAATTTTTAACGATTGTTGGTTTCCGAGTATTTGGTGAAGTGATTTAAGATGTGCTAATACTTCTTTTGCATTAAAATTTGTCACTTATTTTTGAAATTTCCAAATGTCTTTTGAAAATAATTCAGTTTCTCTCTTAGTGATTTTTTTGTGAGCACATAAAACAATTTCTAAATCCAACAAAACTTTTATCCAAACGACAGAACTTGATGTGAAATTTGATGTGCAAAAAAACTCTTGTCTTTTTTTGCAAACCAATACAAACAAAGAATTAATTTATTGTGTGTAAATTATCGTTGCGTCTTAAAACTGAATTGATGATGAACATTATAATATGACCAGTAATCAACCACTAAAAAAATAACCTGTGGTTTGAAAATTTATTAGAGAATCATTTTAAATCTGTTTTTTTACATAATTAAAAATTTTTTTTGCATAATTATGGGCAGTTCTGTAATCATTCTACAAATATTCATCAAGATTTCAGTTTATGTCTGATGCGAAGATCAGTTCGACGTGGATCGCCTCGCAGTAAGCCAATGGATACAACAAGGAGGTGGAAAGCAGGATTTGTTGGTGGTAAGATAATTATAGAAATCCAAATTTCAGGCAGTTAACAAAATATATTGATGAAGAAAACGAAAATCTCGCAAGCTAGTCTGGAAGTTTTTCGCTTTTGCATGCTTACTATCACTTTTATAGCATAGTGCACTAGTAGAGTGTATCATCAATTATATATTACTGATATTATGTTGAGTGTGTATTAAGTGTTTAAAGTTGTTGCAAGTTTAGGATAACTATTTGTAAAAGCAGCGCTGATGTGATACTTTGGTTAATCGCATGAAGAAGCTAAACTGCATTCAATTAACAGTTATTTGAAGATTCTGTACGGGAAAATAAGTTTTAGAGATGTAGAGTAACATAACTATGTAAATTTTAATAAAGTTATTAGCTTTTTCGCCGAAATTTTCCATTGAAGTATAAATTATACTCAAAAATAAAGTGGCTATTTGGAAGAGCAAATTATATTTAACAGTTTGCATGAGCATTAACTATAGCAATTATATATTTTATTGAAATGAAGCATGGCATGATGAACTGTTAGCTTTTTCGTCAGTTTGCATGCAATGTTTGAAACTGCAATGCTTTTTCAGATAACAAGTCAAATATACTCTGTGTTTTCATTTCACTGACTTAACGAAACTGAAAATTTCAAATCAAGCAAATATCTAAAGTGGCTTTACTTTTACTAAATTAGCATTAATTAGGTCTCAGAATATTTTCTGTGACGCAATCAAGAAGATATATTTTAGGAAATTGCAACATTTGAAAATCTTTATATGTTAGTTTGTTATTACTATGGCGAATATTTGAGGTACAATTCGAAAAGAGGCAGTAAAGTCTATTTCTAATACTTTAATCAAATGGTCTGAAACACCGAAAATATCGTCTTTACACTTGTCCAACACTTTAAAGTTTTATTGTGAAAAACCCAATGTTTGACTTGAGAAATGTTACCTTAAACCTGTTATGCCTTATTTTTATATTCGAATTTGAGATTTGACAAATTTTTCGTTAAATAAAATTGTACTTAATGTAAAGATCACTATAATGAGATCTCTTAAAACGAATTTTGAACTGAATATCATGAAAACTTTCATATTTCGTTCTTAAGCCTAAAATTTTTAACTAACAGTAATGGCATTTGTGTGTTTATGTTTATTTTCTTCATTTTTAAAAGAAGCTCAATTGAAGCATGCGTTTGAAATCGCATTTGCTGTTACTGTTACTAACTTTTCAACTATCACTAACTGTTTTCGCAGCTGCTTTTCTTCATCTTTTCATTACAGTGATTCAAATTTCAAGAACACTTGTTAACTTGTCCAGGAACAAAGTTGGTAGTAACTTCCATTTCCGTAAAACTTTATTGTTTTCCATTTTTTCTTCAAGAGAATGAAAGTTCTTACCAGTCTGGATTTTTTTACGTTGTGAAAGTGTAAAATGCAGAACGGAAGAAGCAGACTGAATTTGTCCAAGTTATTTTTTTGATCTACATTTGATTAATTAATGGTTCAAAAGCAAACAAATCTCTCATAATTCTGAGAAAGTTGTGTGTATGAAGTACCCAATTTAATTTTGTGACACATAAAACACGTGAAATAATAAATGGTATGATTATAAAGCTAGTTAAGTATAAAATCTTCGTGAGTATGAATTCACAGAAAGCTTGAATTTTTTTATATTAACATCCTATGTAAAACATAACATTGAATGTAAACTTATTTTTATGGGACATAACTAAGACAATCAGCCAATGTAATAATTGCAGTTACAGTTTATGGAGTTTCTTTATTTGGTTTATCTCATTTGTCAAGACTCAGTGTAAAAGTGTAGAATGATTTAGTCGCTAAGCTTAGCTTTTCAATGATTTCAATTCATCTATCTCCTTCTAATCACTTTCATCAATTATTTCTAACAGTTGCAACATTTGCTTATTTGTGAACATTCAATCTGCTGTCATACTAATTAACCACAAATTGTGAATAACAAAACTGTTTATAATTGTAGTGACAATTCTTCCATTTGCTTTCAGTCTTTCATGTGAAACAGAATGAAGCATTGTTTATGCTTTAGTCTGCTTAGGTATGTATTATCGCTCTTTTCCGTAGTGTCATTTGCAAAAATAATTTGCCTTCACACTTTAACTCATCGTATGTTTATGGAAATGTTGCAGAAAATCTGGAAGGAATGCCGACAGGTGGTGTTAATTTGATGCAAATGATGATACAGCCATCACTTCGTCACAGTAACAATCTGGTCAACAATTTTGCTTGATTTTCTAACTTATCCTTCAACATGATTATTCGATATGAGTGCGCAGAATTTTTTTATGCTTAAAACATTTAGGCAAAAATTATCGCCAATGAATCATTTGCATTTTATTTCAAATTATAAATGAATTTGATTAAATTTTAAAATGATGAAAATAATTCGGTTCAAAATTTCATTTACATCCTAAAAATTGCACTAAAATAAAATAGGTAGTAGCATATTTGAATGTTGATACAGAATGGTTATAAACCAGGCAAATGCATGGTTTATTCTATGTAACCCTTTTTAAACTACTAAATTGTTGTAACATAAATTTCCAATTAAATTTTTTGCAAAAAAAGTTCTGAAGCATTTTAGATAATGGTAATTTTAACTTAAAGATTCTAAGTAAATACTAAAGTTACTGTCACCATATATTTTTAAATTCATTTGATTTTGATGCAAATATGCAAACTGTGAAAAAGCGTATCTTCTCTTTCAGAACAATGGTGAGTTTTTAACTGTAACTTAAACTATCAGAATATTACTTACTGTAAGCTAGTTGCTAACTTTCGTTCATAGTTGCGAAGTTGCCTTTAATATGCATATCATTCATATAAATACTTTCACTTTTTGTTTGTCTGATCAATCTTCTGCATATTTTTCACTTTTCTTCAAACAGCTGTTTTATGTTAATCGACTTCATTTATATGACATACAATATTCACTCTTTTTTACTTCTGTGCTTCAATCTTGAAAGCGTCACAGATTCCTTAATGTTTTCCGGCAGTTTTCATGCCAGAAGTTTATATTGAATCTTCAATTAAATACAGGCATTTCTTAATTTCCTAAAAATTGCCACAAAAATTTAAAACAATGATGAATCCGCAGGCCTAATTTATTTCTTAAACATTCTGAATCAGTTTTCTAGGCAGTCAATAACAGATCAAATTTTGAGTTAATTAATTTTACAGTTGGTTCATCATCGTTGCTCAATTTGACATAAGACTAAAATTTTTGCGAGCATTTTGCATTTTCTATCTGAAATTAGAGTGCTCAAAAAATTCAAGTTTTATGTTTTCAAAGATTAAAATCTATAAAACTCAGGAGCAAGTTTTCAGCATAAAATCCATTTTGGGAATCTAATTTTAAGTGTTATGAAGGAATGAATTTGAATCCCACTGTGTTTCAGTATCGCAATGCACATTTATGTTGTTTTGTCCTGTTTAATAATTGTTTATAATTCATGGACAAGTAATTTCGATGAAGACGAAGGATTCGTTCTTACGTATTATCAGTTCAAATTCAAAATTTGCTCAAGATGTTATTAAATGCTCAAAGGATAGAAATATTATACATGTTGTGTGAAATTATAACTGTAGACGTAGCATTGAATATTGATGCAGTAGACGTAAACTATGTTATCATAAATATTGGCTTTGTAGTGATTTTTGAGATTTAAAAATGTAAAAGTACTAAAAGTCTTTCTCAAAAATATTTGATAGACAAAGTGTTGTACAGATTTTTTTGAACAGATTCAGTTAAAGGTGTAAATTTAAGTTTTATATTTTCAAAGATTAAAATCTATAAAACTCAGGAGCAGGTTTTCAGCATAAAATCCATTTTGGGAATCTAATTTAATTTTACAGAAAAACTCTAAAAGTTTCAAAAACGAAATATCACTGCAATGCATGACATGTATAAACGCTTGCATGTCGAAAAATGGCGCACCTAAAAAGCTCGAATTTTGAATTATGTTTTTGCACTATTTGCCATTTTAGGCTGTGAATTTTGCTTCATACAAATGAAATTTTATTCAGTCTGTAGCAAATTCTCAAGTTCATCACTTAATATTACAATTGTTTTAGGCAGATGCTGTAAATGATTTCATCTCATAACAGAATATATAAAATTATTTTAAATTGAATTTAATAATTTATAAAGTTAATAGAATTTTTCTCCTCTCGCAATTAGATAAACTTTTATGAAAATAGTAGCATATTTAGTGGCGGAAAAATTGGATGGAAAGTTTTGCATGAAAATAAATTTGAACTCATTAACTGTTTCTTTTTTATTTAAGCCTTAATGGATCAAGGGAGCATGTGGCGACCAGATGGTAAGTAACAGACGTATTTGTATCAGAATATAAAATGACACAAAGTAAGTTACGGTATAAAGAGCAGCCACTTGAATAATCATTGTGATGTGAACACGAATGATCAGTATATTGTGAAATAAGTTTTATTTACAGTAACTTACTATAATAATATGTGAGAACTATACTGATTGAATTTATTGGTTAATAGTCGAAATTGTAAGAAAATACTTTTTCTAATTAAACAGAAAAATTATTCTCATTTTCATTATCAATAATTAATTTTCAGCCTAAATTATGAATTACTGAAGCATAAACTACGTAATGAAGTGCATAAATGAAGAGAATATATTTCAGTGTCTGGACAATCACGAGCGGAAATCTAAATTGCAGGCACTATTTTGCACTATTTATTCAAGAAAATCAACTTCATAAATTGTCGTTTTGCTGTGAGATTTTGGCATTTACTAAAATAATATATACGACGAATTAAAATCGGATTAGGTGTATTTTTACGTATTGTGAAAAACAATGCATTTTGTAGCTTGCTTGAAGAGGTTTGAAATTTTGTAAGCATCATAGTTTCGATCAAGCAATTATCTCAAACTATCAAAGTTGATTGCAGAAGATCGACTGTCTACAATATTGTGTTTGGAATAAATTTACAATTAATTATTTCTGTTCCTAAAAAGTTGTCACTTTCAGTGCTTTGCATATATTTTTTGTGCGAATGCACATTTTTTCAAATAATGTGCTGGCATTTTGCGATTATTCCAATACGTTGCTTGGTTGATTAAGTAATTTTAGAAGCACAAACCATGCACATATTTTGAACGAAATCTTATGAAAAAGTTTAATTGGTTCTGAAGGCTCAGTGCAAATGGAGGAATGAAGTCAGGGTGAAAATAAACAATGAGTTGAAAATAGAATTGTAATGCAGAAAGTACCTTTTTAAAATACTGAGTGTTGGAAAGAATGAATATTCAAAGAATTAAAATGCACTTGAAATGAATACTTACCTTCCTTTTCCAAATGAAAAGCCATTAACTTAAAGTTTATGTGTAAGCTGCTATTTTAAGTGATTTCAAGAAGTGCTAAAAACCCACTGTTTTCGAAGCTTTCAAACTGGTAACAACTACCCATGGGTTTCAGGCTCGGAATTTAAAACTGTATCTACTCTTTTTTCAATGCTATTGCGATTAAATATCATATTGAAGTGATAAGCAGTTAAAGATTACACGTTCAGAGCACACTTATTACTAACACTTGACGCTCGTACAAGTTGAATATTCGTTGGTAACTATGCATCTGACATCACAATTCGCTATTGCATTTTATAAACTTTTCTTCTTACTACGAAATAATTGAAGTGACAGAAAACAGAATTAAATGATTAATATTGCTGCGCAACAAACATAATCATAATTCATAACTCTCATATAAGCTTTTCAATAATAAATGTTGTCGAGCAGTGGCGAACTTCTTTCATCAGAATGTTGTCGTCTGCCATAATGTTATGGAAGAGAAACAAGCAGTAATGGAGAAGAAAATAGTGCTTTATTTTTGTACAAATAATATTCTTTGAAATCTCGAATTTCATATAATTTAAATTAAGTGCCATTCCATTCCAATTAATCTCAAATGTAGCGCGAAACATAAATTTAATAATTGTTTCAACAGTAGCATTCTTTTATTTAAATCCAATCGCTTTTTCCACGTGGAGTCAATTCTTTTTACTTAAAATAAGGTATTATTTTTGTGCACTGCACCTTTTCTTTTGAAATAAACTCTGTATTAATCTTTCATACAATTTTGTTCTCTTTTATGCAGTCAACTGTAGCACATTAATTAGATGTGCATGAGTATTAGCACTTTAAACTTGTTTGATCAATTAGATGTAACAAGCAAATAAAGTACTGATACACATTATCACTTAAAATTTACTTGAAGCGAACGTGCTATGTTCTCCAAGACAAGACTGTGACCTTGCCAATGAGACCAAAATGGTCTTTCCGGCTTGCAAGGACTGCCAACATCAAGATTAAAATGACAGTACTGAGCTGATTGCGTTGCACGCGTACCACAAGAATCAAGGCTTTAAAATATATAGGAATTTTAGGATTACCAGGAAAAAGTGAGTCAGATGGATCTGTCAACGCTGCGGAATCTCTCAGTGATAACGCAACTTACTCTCCTGTGCTTCTTTCATTGATACATTACTTTTACTAAATAATTCGTGAATATGCTATAAGTGTGTTTTGCTAAAATATATAAAACATTCAGTTGAACGGACCAGTCAGTTGGTTTTGCAAGCAGCGAAAAGACATAGGATGCACTTATCAGAGCAAGAAGTTCCTATACGCGTCCTTCATTTTTTTCTTATTTATTCTGTCGGTCAACGAAGCAAAATGACTTCTATTAAAAACGCAGAAAATCAATAATTCTTATTAACAACCCTTACTAGCAGATGCTTTAATAACACAACTGACTGACGTGTCAATCTCAAAATCGCGTATGTTCAAGCTCCAACTCAAGCATTGTCATTTTTGATTCTGGTAGTATGACGAAAGCAATGGCTCAGTGCTCGGAAATTTCTTTGAAAACTATCAAAAGTTGAAAATAACCATTTTTGTTAAGAAGAAAAATGCGGTCACGCGCAAAATAATTTGCAATATTTTCAAAAAATTATACTGACGTAAATAGTAGAAAGTTATTTGAGTTCGACTATTTCCATAATAATTTTCAGCAAAATTCATCTTTAAACAGACCAAAAATTTTATTTTAGAATTGAAAATTTTTAGAAAAGTAGTCGTTTTGAAGAGTTTTTCCAGAACTTATACAAACAACGTACTATATAAAAATGTATTCAAGACTGTAGAAACTTATACTCTTTTTTCAAAATAAAAACAATATTTGGGAAGTCTAAACA